TTTTTTGAATTGAAATTTCAATTCTAAATATCATATAGGATGCTTGGTTTGCATCTCATATATGAAAGATCCCGAATACCCCCCGAACTAATTTTAAAATATTGCGAAAAAATACTCCTCAGCCAGGAGTCGAACCTGGAATCTCCGGCTTTCCGGGCCGTCGCCTTCTCTGTTAGGCCACCGAGTGTGTCTTTCATATATGAGACGCAAACCAAGCATCCTATATGATATTTAGAATTGAAATTTCAATTCAAAAAATCACATGTAAGATTTACATGTGAACATATATATGTATATACATATATATATATACACGCTTATTCCCACACAACATCCTGGTTTAGGTTCTCATGACCATTGATATATATATTTTCGAATGTTTTATTTTAAAGACTTAACGCTCGTGAAATTGTTAACAGGAATCAAATAAGGCCGATACGAGCCATTCGCAGGATGTTTGTGCGGAAACTATGCGTGTACATATATATACATATATATAAATGTAACGAATTCTACTTGTAAATTTTTACAAGTATTTTTTGAATTGAAATCTCAATTCTTAAAATCATACGGGATGCTAGATTTGCATCTCACATACGGAAAACCCCGGGATACGCCCCTAACTAATTTTTAAAATATTGCGAAAAAAACTTCTCGGCCAGGAGTCGAACCTGGAATCTCCGGCTTTCCGTGCCATCGCCTTTCCTGTTAGGCAACCGAGGCACTTAAATTTACAAGTAGAATTCGTTACATTTATATATATGTATATATATGCACACGCATAGTTTCCGCACAAACATCCTGCGAATGGCTTGTATCGGCCTTATTTGATTCCTGTTTTATTTTATTTTATTTTTTTTATTGAATTTTTATTTGAAAAATACTGAGAAAGAAAGGAATTCTAATTTTCTGTTTAGTCACTTACAACGATGAGCAAGAGCCTACCGCGATTTATTACCATGGGACTATCGGTTCTTCTGAGTGGAATGAAAATGGAACCTTTTGTTTCCGTAACCGCGCAAGAACTTGTTTTCGGCTATGACGATCCATTAATTACTCTTGCGCATAAATTTCTGCCAAAAACAAGACGGCCGATGAGCAGGATGGGACTTCTTCTCGGAGTGAGTATACCGTTTGTTTTTTTCTTTTTACACATATTTATTGTATTTGTATATTACAACAAATTGATTAAAGTTTATGATAATATTTAACATAGATTTAAGAAATACGAGCCTATATGTCGGATGCGTGTGCATATATATTTTTAAGCGTATAAATTCTTAAAAATTTAATTAAAAATAAAAATTAAATAAACATTAAATAAAAATTAAATAAAAATTAAATAAAATTTAAATAAAATTTAAATAAAAATTAAATAAAAATTTAATTAAAACACAATTTAAATAAAAAAATACAATTAAATAATAAAAATAATTTAATTAAAAGTATAAAAATTCATTTAAGATGCTTTGCACATCTCATGTATATATTAGATCTACCGGAAAGTTCTGTCCGTTTTTGGAATAAAACAAAATACAAATTTTTCTTAATTTTTCAAAAATGAGATATACAAATTGCTCTCACTCTGGCAAGAAATCATTAATATA